AAGAATGATGACAGTAATACTTGTCATTTGTGTGAAGATGTAGCAACACAAAACCCTCTCTCAAATATATGTTATCTTGGAGTAATCTTTCCAAGGGATAGGCTTTCTGAGAAACGTTTATGACTTTTGAACACGATAGGCATGAACTTGACACGACCTACTTTGGCCGAGCCCTGGGCTTCAGCCTGGTCTTTTACCACCACAAAACAGTGTATTTGAAGTGCAGTCAGACTGATATCTTCACTGAGATGACAAGGTTACAACACATACCAGCTTGAGAGAAAACAGCTGTAGAGCACTTTGTTATCAGGATTCAAAAATTCAGAAATATTTTTACTGAAGCCAGAGGAAAATGGCTATGTTCTACCCATACACAAAAGCCAATACAATGCCTGGGATGAATGAAATATTCAATACATCATTGAAATGAGAGCATTAACATCCTTATATTATTATGTCTCCAATCCTTCCTTTATCTTAGCACTGGAAAATGCAAAGAAAAGCAGAGGATATAAGGGCTTTCTACTAAATACCCTAGACACAAGAGTTGATTTTTCCTCCTGACTTTCCACAGCATCATGCTGCATGGTTTTGTGTCACCCCATCTCAGCCTTCACACCATCCTCTCAACTTGATCTCATACAATGTAATGCCAAATTGTCAAATTACACTGACTTTCGAGTTTGTTCTTATTTAATTAAATACTATGGCGCTGGAGACATTGGACAAAAGGTGGCACATGTTTCCAAAGACCGAGACCTGTCAAGGGATATCTGTTTCTAAAGGTCCTCTCCTCAGCACAGCACTGAACAGCACTGATTATATTACAGATAAGGTGTAGTCACTGAATTAACTGAAAAACAGCCAAAGTGTCCACAGTATATGCAGTCCACAGGGGCATTCCCTGATGGGGAAAAAAACAGTCTGGAAGGAGAGCTGGGAGCTATCACATGACTACTTTCCTTTCTTCCAGGGATTGTCCAGATATAAGGAACCATTGACTTGTTTGCTCTCATAGCCCGACTGCAGCAAAGTCACTAACGGTTTTCCAGAAAGGCGGCTACAGATGCAGGCATGGCGAGGTGACACGTACAGCCTGTCACACTCTAGGTCACTCTAGATCATCAGAATGACCTTCTGCTATGAGATAGGCCTCTTTGATTGCAATTCTCCTGCTAGTCATAACTAAGGAAATTCTTCTACACAGTTCAGATACAATTACAGTTATAGTACAAACTAATTCAAAATTAATCTAAATATAATGCTAAAATTTCTCGTATGTGATTGAATAATTGCTGCAATACAGCTCCAGTAGGGCAAAGAGCAGGAACATTTCATATGAAGATCATTCAGAAACCAGCATTTTAAAATTGTGTTGCTCGAGCATACAACACACACCACAGAAACAGATACACTACAAAAAGTGAATATAGAGGAATTGAGCTGAGAATCATTAACAACATATTTTAAAATTAAGAACAACCACATTATTACTATAATAATTTTCCTTTCACACTAATTTGTTTTAATCTATTCACACTCCTTATAAATCATTATGCAAAATTTTAATCATAGCATTGTTTTCTTTAAATATATGCATTTCAGTAAATGACACATGCATGTATAAATTTAGTGAGTGAGACTGATGCTAGAAATGAGCAGTCATTTATTCAGAAAAAGATTGCCTTGTTTTCCTGTCCGTAAATTTTCTATGGAAAGCTATTATTTTTTTCAGTGTATTCATTATTCAACATGTTAGTTGTATACAGAGAATTCTCTGGTTTTGAATCATTCACAGCCTGTTAGTTCCAATTATTTCACATCTGAAATTTGAACCCCAGTCCTTCCTTTTTATTTGATATAGAGTTTACTTGAACTGACACTGTTCTCCAGTTGAAAAAATGTGACCAGAATCCAGATGGAATAACTTCTGTACACAGAATCAGTAGTTCATGTCTGTGTTTCAACAGGAGTGAATTGCTTAGCTATAATACAAGATCAGTGTGAGCACAAGCTGAAAGTCATCTTAGGATAATTCTGAAGAAGAAAGCCCATCTTATAAAGACCATTATTCCACAACTTTTGATATCCACATAGCACGCACTACCTTCTTTTGCCAAACCTACACAGTTATCTTCACTCCTAGAAAGACAACTTAAAAAAAAATCTCCAAAGAAGCACTTTTCTTAAGATGTGCTGTATTTCAGAGTTACCTGCCCAGCTGTTGGGATAGAGTTACAGACCTGGAAAGCACAGCTCCCAGAAGGAGCGTGCATCTTAGTGTCAGCCTGAATGCTGCAACTTTACCAGGACTTTTGGGCAGTGCCCTGCAATTCTCCACTCCTGTGAGGCTTAGTAAAGCAAGGCTGAGAGCAGCCTTCAGTTCTCTGAGACTAGGCAATAAGAAAATCAAAGTATTTATACATGGAGAGCAAGAGAGGAAGGAATAACAGGCAGTACTAAATAAGAAAAAAAAAAAAACACAAAAAAACCACACCCAAAAACCAACAAAAAAGCCAGACAATTGAAAGCCACTTTATAGGGAGTGAGAAGCGCCTTAGAGTGGTCATTAGCCACACTGCAAGGAATGAGATACATCAAAAAAGAGGAACATTTGCTGCAGATACTATGAGGTGGGAAGTATTGGAGGAGGCTGTTACTCCTGAAAATATTTAATGAACTGGCAGGTGGCCCTGTGGTCAGAACACAGGAAATGCAAGTCCCATTTCTGCTGCAGACCTCCTGTGTGGGATCAGAGGAGTCACACTAGTGTCCAAGATGACCACTGGGAGCCAGGCAGACCTGGCACAGTGGGCATTGGGGTGCCCGGTGTCAAAGAAGCTATTGAAACTGATGGAAGATGTCCGTTCCAGTATGGGAATTTCTCCATGCCTCCTCTTGCATAAAGCCACCCAACATGGGCAAGAACATCTGCTTTTGTTTTCACAGTAAAAGCTGACACTGGAGGAGATATGCACATTTGGGAGGGAAGCACATTCCACAGTGGAGCTGTGTAATACAAACAATACAAGACCATCCTGGGAACATCATTATTTGGTGAAAACTTACTGTATTCAAGGGGACAAGGCTGCCTGTGAAGGTAGCAGAAGAAGGTGTATTGAAATAACAGAAGGTGTCTCTTGGCATCTCGGTGGCAAGGCAAATCACCCAAAGTGTATGGCAGAAGGGTGGCTTCTAGTCAATATTCAGTGGCCTAACACTGACACCAGTCACTGCTTCCCTCCTTCATTTCTGTGGACGTTTCAGGGATTTAGTTTCTCCATTTCTCCTTCCTCAAAACAATGGATTAATATAAAGGTGAAAGGAGCTCCCAAAGCAGGCTAGTCTTCAGACTCTCTGTCTTTGTGCATGAGAAGACAAATATTTTTAAACAAAATTACACCAAAATGTGAACTTAGGGCTAGTGAAAGTACCTTAATGGGAAACTAAGAAAACCTTTCACCACAGTTAGTGGTGATTTTGGAAAGAAATTGTCAATGGAGGTGCTTGAACATGAATACAAAAAAATGATAGAGATGTTCAGCAGAAAGTTGGAAGATTTCAGGTTTGTTGTCCTGGACTGTTCTACCCCAAACCACGCCTCTCATCATTTATGCAAAATACATTCAGTAAGCAGTGTCAGAGGAAGACTTTGACTTATTAACAATAACTTCACCCATGTCCTAGACAGATGCGTCTGTTCTAAAGCTGCATGAGTTGACAGACTTTCTAATATCTCTGTAATGCAGTTGCTTGACTGATTTTTAGAACATTGTAAAATATATATATTTTTAATATTTTCTTAAAACAGTACTCTGGTAAAAATAGAATTTCTATTCCCCTCTTAAAAAAATCCTCCCAACAGTTCAAATCTATAGCTTACACAAAGAACCACTGTTTCAAAAGAAACATATCACATGGGAACAGAGTAGTTCCATAGGTAAGCTGGTGCCTAAAAATGTTTCTCCTTGTAACTGAAGTAGTTACTTCAAGATTAAAAATGGGATAGTTCTTGGAGGGGACAGAAGGGTGAGGAATGCAAATGAAACAACTTACTAAAAAAATGTATCAATGCTTATATGAATAGGAGCTGGAATCACCATAACTCAATCGTGTAGACTTTTTCTACCATGAACATTTGTCACAAGGACAAGAATGGCTGGAAACTACCATAGGAAAGATGGAAAATCTCCTTACAGAGTTTCCCCTGTTTAAAGTGACAATAAAGAACTAACCAGTGAATAAGATTTTGCATGACCAATTCTAATCAGCTCAGCTTGGTTTGTTGAATAAATTATAAAAGATAAATCAGAAAAAGTATGTATAAGTAAGTCCTACTTACATGGCTAAAGGAAAACTCAGCATACCAAATTAGTAACTTGTTTCCGTACCCACCGGGTAGCTACATTTACACAATACATTTTCCATGGCATTACCTCTTTCCATTCAAAAGCAGAACTCTCATCCTGGCATATTGAGGACCGGGCTGTTTCACTGCAGTAATAATAAAGTCTAGAATTCCAGACCGTAGTATGATCTTTTCCACTTCCTATGAAAAAAAAAAATTAAAAAATATAGTCATGAAGTTTTAATCAACTGTTTCACATAACTAGAAAGAACGATTGAGTAGTCAGGTCAAAATAAGCCTGCTCAGGCTCTGAGCCTAGGAGTTTGCAGAAGCTTTCACTTCCAATTTGCCATAATAATATAAAACTTTGTTTTAGAAGCACAGGCTTCGAAATCATTGTCTGGACCACAACATGGGACTATGTGAGCCACTGGACTCTATTGCTTAGATTGCAACAGTATTCCCAACTCCAGTCATGGCCTCTGCTGTGATAAGCATATAAACACACAAGACAGACAGTATCTGCCCCCAAAAGCTTACTACCGTAACTGTGGGCAAGCTTTGTGAGGGGGTAAGGGAAGGTGAGAGGAAGAGAGGGCAACCTCAGAAATGTCTCTGGCTGGTGGTGAATGTCTGCCCTCCACCTTTCAGGATGGCCTGGGACTCCCTGTGCAGCGGGGACCTACTGCGCCCCAAGATCAGAAGTGCCTCAAGCCGGACATCTGGCAGCCAGGGCAGTGCCAGAACACCATCCCTGGAAGAGCTGCGCCACATGCTTTGGACACACATGGACCCCACAGGGCACGTGGATGAAGTCTGGCCAAACCTTTACCTGGGAGACCTGTAAGACAGAGGGAAGGGTTGAAGGTGTTAACTCAACTCTTAGCCCCCATCCTATTTCCCCCCAAATCTTCCACTATTTATTTAAAAAAAAGAGCTAGGCACTAATTTGGGGACCCCTCACAGTAAGTGAACTGTGCATAGGATCCTGTAGCATAAAGAAAAGACATCCTAAGTACCCAAAAAGAATATTGCCCCTCCTGATTTCTCCTCCTGCATTAGTACAGGAGTCCCGCACTGCAAGTGCCTACTGGGGCCATGGCATTGGTACTGCAGGCAGTCATGCCAGAGCTAGGTAAAACAGAATCAACCTCCATTCTCTTCACATTGCCAGATGGCATCAGTCCCGTGAACCGATGGATGCTCAGCAGAGGTGACTAGGTGAGAAAGCAAACCAGAAAACTCTTGGCTTGTGCAGAAATATGACCACCACCCTCTTCTTTTTTGTCAGTTGAGAAGAACAACCTAAACTGACATTTGGGAGAAAAATGCAGGAAATGTACAAGTCAGTTTCTTAACGAGTCACTTTCATCTTGAAGCATTTTGGTGGATGTTTTTGACCTGATCAACCTGTCAGAAAACAGTCATTACAACTTCATGCAGTTTTAATAAACTGCACCATCATCCTCATGTTCTACCCTGCATTGTAATGCAGACTGCATAACCCACTGTCCGTCTTCCAGGTATGTTGCTCGTGACAAAGCGCAGCTAAGCCGAATGGGCATCTCCCATGTTGTGGATGCTGCTGCTGGGCGATTTCACATCGACACCGGACCCAAGTTCTACAAAGACCTGCCTGTGGATTACTATGGAGTAGAAGCAGAGGACAACCCAAACTTTGATCTCAGCATTTACTTCTACCCAGTTGCTCGATACATAAGAGCAGCACTGAATTCAAGAGGTAACTAGACCATCTGTGCATGTTGCATATCTTCTGCATAGGACCCAAATAGAGCAAATTATCAAATAGTATGTGGCATAAACCAGCCACCTGCAGATGTGGGTAAGAATGGAGATACCCAAACCAAGTAGTGTCACGCCTACCTCCTGAACTCCCACAGTGAGTGGGAGTTTCCCTGAAACAGGGAAGGATACACTGAACAGGCTTTCAAAGGGGTTTTCCCTATGCCTAGTGCTATTCATTACCAAAAGACAAAATAGCAAGTATCCTTTATTACCTATAGGGACACACTGATTTGGAAGGAGACATGTACACTTCATCTTTTCAAATTAATGATGGGATTTAAAATAAAAGCTGGGATGGGGTAAAAAGAGGGGCAAGCATCATATTTGAGCAAGAAGAATCAACTATAATGCTACAGCCTGTGCAAGTCCTACAAACACAGGATAAGGAAGAACTTGCTGGGAAGCAATTCTGTAGAAGAGAACCTAAGCAACACCACCAGCCAGGAGAATGTCATACTGTTGTTAGAAGGAGTATAACCTCAAAACAGGAAGATAATCCGCAAAATCCTTGGACTCACTAAACACAGACCAGGTACAATGTCAGAGGCCTGGGGCTAGTGGGGGATCATTACTATTAAGAACAAACCTTCAAAAAGCAAGTCTCCACTGTGCCACAAAACTGTACAGATACCCACTCAAAAGTAAGTGATATAATAGTAAGAGAATAGTTATACACTCAGCAAACTCTTTTGCTTGCACCATGATGAGCTTTAATATCAATGAGGGTCCTAAAATACTAACTACCCAGCTCAGTTGTATGCAGCTAGTAGATCTGATTCACACCATACAAGCTAGGAGAGGAAGACACAGTAACTGAAAATAGAGTACCTCCATGCTAGATACCTCAGCATTTACTGCCGTTTGGAGAGCTTGACCCATCCCATTAGAAAGTATTCGCCCTTATGCAACTGAAGGCGGCCTCTGGATTTCAAAACCGCTGACGTATTTGGGGAATTTGGTTCTGCACCCATTTCTATTACAGCAAATTCTGTTTGCAATGGAAGTCATTACTGGTGGTGCTCCAGAGAAAGGTAAGATCCAAAGTCTTTTAATGCATGTGTAAAAAAAAGTTCCAAATCAATTGACAAAATTCAGAAAACAACAGACGAATCATGGTGGCCACAAAAGCAAACAAATCCAGTGCTTTGCAAGATGCATGCCCAATTCTGAAAGTTTTGAATGCAGAACAAGTTAGGGCTCAAGGCAAACACAATGAACTCATCATGTCTAGAGTGCATATTTATCCCTACTCCCAGGCTTTTAGATATTGCTTTACTGAACTCCATATGGAAGCAGGGTTCTTGGAGTGGAGACAATGTGAAATTCAATCACATACAGTCCAGCTGTTGCTGACATTCATCATTTTAAGGAAAGTGCAACAGTTTAGAAAATATATAAACAAGATGTTCTGGAAGCATAATTTCCTGAGGTACAGAAATTTAGAGCTAAATACCCATGACCTATGCAGGAATGAGACAAGGAGGGGATTGTTACTCATGTAATTTAGAAGAAAAGAAAAAGTGGAATTTATTTTTTTTATTTTGTTCAGCAGTGATGCTGAAGAAAAGAATTATACCAGCTGACAAGAGGCCTGTTCATATTAAATTCAGGATGTAACAGGGTACTTCTGTTTAATTGAGAAGTCATTTAAGACTGCTGCTTAACTACTACAAGCAAATTCAACATCTTTCTTAATGGAATTAAATTATCTTTTTCACCTGGGAGGATAAGTCAAAGTTAAGACTGTATGAGGCACAAACATATTTAAAACTATGAATCAAATACTTATTAGAATTAAGTAAGAACCGTTATCCCACCATGCTTGAAGAACTCCAGGAAAAAGCATGCATATTTAGTCCAGATTTCTACCTTAGCTGAACAGAATATATCTTCGGTGATGTAAGGAATTTATTTTTAAGGCAATTTCTTCAAACCTGGATGCCAGAGCATGAGCAAAAGGAATCAGGGGAGCATGCACTCACATGCTCCTAATTGGGAGCTATTCCTGTCACAGTGGTCAATGGCTGCATTGCACCCTGAATGACTTCCTTCATTGTCTTTGTCATACAGATTAAGAAATACATGCACTACTATTGCAGCCATGTCATATAAGCTTTATTTTATTAACTCTGCCTCCTTGGCTGCCTTTTCTTCAGCACAGCCCTGCTGTTCCTTTGCCTACATAACAGAGCTCTTTGGGAAGGCTCAGCCAAGAGCAAGTGTATGCACAATCTACCCCCTTCTCTGCAAGGAAAAACGTGGTGTCAGGGAAGTACTGGCCTTCTCCCTCATGCTCATTCTCAAGGGGCTACACCTTGAATATCAATCTCACCCCTTTGCACAGCCATCTGTACAATCTGAATTCTTCTGGAGTACAGCTAATCCTAAGCATAAATCAGCAGAGTTCGGTAAAGTCTAGCAAGAAGAGGGATAGAAAGAGAGCTTCAGAGTGCAGATGAAAGAATGCCACAAAAACTATTAAACACCATGCAGACATAAAGATTTCCAAGTAGAGAGCTTCTCCTTTTATTGACCTCCAAAAATGTCTAAAACAGGTAGGTTAAAATCACCCATTAACTTCCTGAAATGGCAAACCCTCCCAAAGGCATTTCCCTCCCTCCACTTCACTGGAACAAATGAAAAGCTAAGCTCCCTCTCCTGCCGCCTTCTTGGTGGTGGTGGTTATGAAAGAAGCTTAACTTAGAAGAAAAGGGACCTCTCTCTTCACTCTGATGTAGGTGCATTACATACATATCAGTTTGACCTCCCATGCTCCAACAGATGACAGCCCTTACCTGTTCCGGGAGGTGTGGGAAGAAGGGATGCACCACCATTTAAAGTTCTCCGTAGGCTTCTTGCTATTTTCAGCTATGACAAAAAAGACACTTGATTAATCAAGAAATAGACAATTAATTCTGCACCTGGCTACAGGACTGTGGCTAAAACATAACAGGAGATGAGAAAACCACAGTGGAGCGGGAAGAGCCCCTGGGGCCCACTAGCCCAGCTGAGCTCTCCTCCTGGTGAGCAGCATAATACTGCTGTATTCAATGGAGTGAGGGCAGCTGGGGCATTCACTTGGGGTGACGGATCTGGAGCCTGGTCTTAAGCCAAACTGAATTCATCCTGCAAGAAAGCAAGGGCTAGTTCAGGACATTTAGCTCAGTTAATGATGAGTAGCAAAAGGACAATAAGATATTATGTGTTTTAATGACTGATTTGTTCAACAACATTGAATTTCCCAACTTGAATTTGGCCAAAGTTGAATGTGCAACCTTATCCCTAGTGCAAACTCTTTGATGTCAGTAGAGTTACAGCAGGCATGAGCTGGATATAATATCCATAATCCGTTGTTAAAAACCAAGTGTTATTGTTCTGCACAAATCCCAGTCAGATGACAGTTATTGTCTGCCTCTGGAAAAAGTAGCTCGAGATGTGCAGTGCAACATTTCAAATAAGGATTGCAAGATTTAATAATGCCAGAAGCTAAGGGCCCCCACTTCTCCTCAGTTAATCCCATTATTCCTAAGGGATCCTGTTACATGCTCAGAGCGAAGGTTGGAACATGGCCCTCTAATGTAGGATCAACTTCTCTTTGCACTGTATATTAAAACAAATTAGGGCAGGGAAGGCAGAGTTGGAGGGTGTCAGCTTGTGGCATAGAAGAGCTGGTTATAACCTCCTTGCCCACCCCATGACAGGGACATGTACCATGACTGCCTCTCTGGACGCTGCTTTCCCAGGCTGGAGTCCAGCAGCCACCCAGGAATCTGCGCCTTGGTGCTGGGATGGTGTATCTCAGCTGCCCCCCAAGAGAGGCTGATGCAACACGCTGTTGTCAAGCCCACTGCGGTCAGCCCACATGGTGCAGACACGCTTTGGGTGCTAGTCAAACGCAGTATATCATGGTGGGTTCAGACTGTCACTTAACCCATTTACAGCTACTGCTACAAAACAGGGGCCTGAGCCTGTAAACAAAATCAAATAGCAACAAAGCTTTTGTTTCCTGGCTCAAGTCTAACATTCGTTTGCTACAAATAATCACATAGTAAATTCAAATCTGCTTTCATTAGAGCAATTTTACGTTAATTAAATTATTTCACATGACTGATTTATCTGCAACAGTCATTTTATTGTCAGTGTACCAGCATTTATCATAACCTCTGTGCATGGTAAAACAAAGGCTAACAATGTGGCATAGATATTGCACGTGTAAAAGAGATAATACACCTGCATCCTCATGGGAACAAGTGTATTAGAGAGCCATACAGATTAGGTCCAAGGACAATAGTTGGGCCTCGTACAGGCTTCTGTTGAGACACCTTCTAAAGCTAGTTGCTGATCTAGGAGGACTCTTCTGAAGTGCAGATAAGCCAGAGAAGCAGGGAAGAAAATTTAGTGTGTTCTTACTTGCTACGTCCTTCTCTCAGACACAGAGTTAGATACAAAATTGCAGAAAGCCAGTCTGTACAAGCAGGAGCCTGGAATTTGTTTTGCTTTCTGTGGCCCCCAAAAAGACACACCAGGCAATGTTTAATGGCAGCATCCATTCCTGTGCTCAGCTCAGTCTTCAGTTCCAGACTGCAGGCAGAGCTGAGCATTTTCAAAGGGAGAAGGCTCCACTTGGGTGGAAAAAAAAATGGACTCAAAAACAATTTTAAAGAAATTAGGTTCAGAACAGCAAGTGTTCTGTCCCCCATCCAATTTCTGGCCAAATTTAGATTGAATTTCAAAATATTTAGTGTTTCAAAATCAAATCCAGCATCAAGGCCATCTCTTTTTTGTGGGGTTTTGTTTGTTTATTGTTCCCTCCCTGGTGCAGTTCAAACCAGAATTTCTTTTTCTTTTAGTTGCAGAGTACCACTAGCTTAGAAGATGTGACTGCAGAACATGTTGTTCCTTGGCTTCTGTTATCTGGTGTGTGTGTTAGGCTGGCTGTCTGGATTTCCCCAGTCCCTGCCACTAGGTTGCAGTTAGGCCTACTGCAAACTACTGCAAAATGGATTTTCCAAAGACCTTGTGGACTTAGCCCTATTTGCAGTATTTCTTAAAGAGAACGTGTGCTCCCGACTCCTTTACGTTCCTCTGAAAACCTCAGACTGGGGTTATTTGGGTCTGAAATGAGTCCTCTGAGGAAGATAATACAGCATACATAGCCCACAAGGTTCGTGTGAAGGCTAATGATAGTGCAGCACATTGAAAAAAAAAAAAAAGTCTAGTGAAAATTCTAATTATTATTATCTTTTAGGAGGGATACAAAGCATTTCTCCATATTCCCATAAAAAACAGGACTTCACTTCCAAGAAGCCCCATGGAGTTAATGGGATTGACAGATAGATGTAATTTACCTTGAATAATGGCATCAGTATCTCAGTAAATTCTATGAGGCTGTATCTGAATTGGAAAACACAAGTGGAAATCACTTGATCTTCTAATTCTGCAAAATTGACATTATGCTGGAAAAACCTCTCCTGTCCTCTAAAGATTTTGATGCCCAGTTCGAGTCTGCTGACACCAGAGCTGTTTCTGCAGCTTCCTTGGAGACTATATTTGTCCCTTTATTTCTACTGAAGAGATGTCTATCTTTAGGGCTGAGCTCAGATTTCTCATGCCAGGATAATGAAAGGTGGCTGTGTCACATACATTGTGGAATTCAACACTTCTCTCAACCTGCTGGCCAAAGCAGGTTTTTACAACACATGCTTGCGCTCTCTGAGCATGTGGCTATGCCATCACCATTAGTCAGAACTGGAACGGTTGCTAAATAAATACTGTCACAAACAAAACAGGATTTAAGATGAAAAGCTGTGCACAAAGTACCCAGAATTAACACCCAGGGAGATGGGGGCAATCAGTCTGAGGGTTTTGGCTGTATCTAGGCTCATCATCCAAGAAGGATATTTTTGTTTTACTCTCTGGTAATAGAGAAATTAAGATGCTGTAATCACAAACAAAACAAGGAACTAGCCCTGAAAAGCTGTCCGTTCTTTCTATTCCTCCTTACATTTTACAGAGAAGCAGCATCTGAGATACTTTATTCCATCTCCAAAGGAAAAAAAAAAGGCAACATGGGATTGTTTTTACTTATTTTCATCTTTTTCTGGATATAAATTGTATTGTTAAATTGCGTTTTGTACAGCTATACAATTAGTAAACAAGAGACTACAAATGTGCCAGTCTAAAAAAAATAAAAATTACAAAAAATGTAGAAAATATTTAATTTCATACTTGTGAAGATTTCCAGTGAAGAAGTCTTCTAAAATTTTCACGTTAAAAAGACAGCATTTTTTTCAGCTGCCTTAATGGGAGACAGACCTGTCCATTAGGTGGTCAAAAGTTCAAACCTGAGTCTAATCACTGGTTACTTTAATAATGCTCAATTGCTGAGTCGTGGTCTCTGTGAAAAGACTAGGTCTGACTGCTGCACAGGACAAGAGAGTTTGAAAATTTTCAGGCATGCCTATAACTGAGTAGAACAACAGGACATTTTTTTCCCCAGTTAAAAATTTCTCATTGAATCATACCATTTTTGTGAAAGTTGAAGTGCTTTACAGTATTTACAAGATGCAGGTTTTCAGGTTCCACAATGAGTTCTTTGTTCACATCCAGAGGTAAAGGACTACAAACCTGAGTTTTTCCATCTGAAAGCAATCCTTTTGATAAAACTTCCTTTAATTTCACATAAAGGCATTTCAAAAAAATGTTTATCTCCTTCCAGCATAGGTCAAAGACACACATTAGAAACTGTGAAGCAGTCATCATACAGAATTGTGTTGCTAACGGAAGCAGCTTGAGAAATCACAGCAGAAAAACCAAAAGCAGGGCAAAGGGAAAGAAGGAGCTATACTCCTGGATCCCTGGAAGGTCTTCCCTGAGGCTCGCATACAGCAACATGGAAGGACTCATGATATTCCTCTTAATGAACTCTTAATGAAGATGCACACCTCACACTGAAATCTCTGGGGAACTCAAAACATTTCATAAAATTTTTTTCTAGCGATTACCTAGTACAGAAGGGAAGATAAAGGCATTAGGGAAGGATAGTGACTATAGATGTACAGGGTAGGCTACAGAAATAAGTAAGCTGGTGCAAATGGTATATACAAACAGGAGCTGTTCTTAATGGTAACACCCATTTTCTCATACACTTCCAACAAGGTTTGGGCAGCAGTCAGCACTCTCAGAAAACATTACTGCCCTAAGCAAAGAAGAAAAAAAGAGCTTGTGGAAAACAGGAGTGTTGCTGTAATAGCAGTGAACACTCCTGAACACTGCATATTTGAAATCCCAAGTTTCCAGGCCCTCTGGTAGTAAGTAACCTGCCAAGGCTGCTTCCTGTAGCATAGCCTCCCAGTATGAAGGCTTGAAGCTTTGCCAGCAAGTACATCACTCCCAAAACCCCACGTGAGCAAGCAGGGACACCATGGATAGCCAGCTGGGCAGGAGGGCTAAGGGCATGCCATCAGGCTAACAGCTAAGCCCAAACGAGTAATCATGGATTCTGGAGTACGATTATGAATTTTCTGTTCCCAGCCATTAAAATTCCCCAACCAGCAACTGCACCACATCTGCTCAGTCCCAGTATCAGTACCACTTCCATCTCTGCTCCAGCATGACAAACCTCACCATTTGGCCTCCTGGCAAAATTGCATCTCTCTTTCCTTTTTCCAGGCAAAGTACTAGTTCACTGTGCAATGGGAATCAGTCGATCTGCAACTCTTGTCCTCGCTTTCTTAATGATCTGTGAAGACATGCCCCTTGCTGATGCAATTCGGACCGTGTGCTCACACAGAGGGATCTGCCCCAACTCTGGCTTCCTTAAGCAGCTTTGGGAGTTGGACATCCAGTTAGGAAGGGGGAAAGGCAGAGGAGCAGAGGCCTGCTAGTGCTGAGGGGGCATATCTGGACCAAGAGATGCTGCCCTCACTGAAGACAGCACAAGGAGGCTGCTCTGTAGCTGCACAGAGAAACTCCTTGGGAAACGGCTGAGCATGAGAAAAATGGTAGGAGTTCAGTATGTATGTTTTGGATAAGCCCACTAATTGGAAAGAAAATGAAATAAAGAAGGATTCAAACCAGCAGTTTTGCCCACCTGGGCCTGTTTATTTAACTACCTGTTGGGCAGGGCATAGGGAGCAGTTGGGTTTTCATGCAGCATTGAAAGGCAGCACAGTCAACTTGAAAAAAAGACTTTTTACTTGCTTATAATTGCATTTATATGGCAAGAGGGAAAATGGCTAAACTAGTAAAAAGAAAAAGAAAGCACAAGGTTTTTAAGGAAATCTTTTAACATTTCACATCCAGCTGGCACAGCGTGAGACTTCAGGTTTTGCAAGCTGCCACACTCCTTTAGTCTGACATGGTAACACTAGTCAGGATCCAACTCAGACCTTGAGCTCCCTCTGTTAGAAGCCACAGAGGCTCTTGCTGGGACCTTCACGAGTCCTTTCAGTTTCAAAGCTATGGCAAATACTCAGAACTTAAAAAGCCCACAAAATCCTTAGGAGCCGATACTGGAGGTCCCAGCCAGATGCTGCACCCTGGGGCACAGCTATCAACAGCCTCACTGCTGGTCAGAGGGAAGGAAGGTGTAAAGCAAGAAGAACACTCAGAGCATGTAGGGCAGCAGCAGTGCCAGACAGAAATGTTCTCCTCTTGACTTGCAACCCAACGCTCCAAATCACATTTCCCAAATCTCCCTGTTTTAACGGAAAGCCAGAACCTAGTGTCATCATGTCAGAGCAAAAATGAGCAATGCCTCTAAAAACCCAAAGCAGCAGCTCTGCATTTCGATTACTCTTTTACACCCAATTGGCCACATTTAATCTTGTGAAGAACTCGAAGCAGATATTTGCTTCAGTGCAATCACAGCCACATACAGAACATTGGCAAATGCAAACAATATAGAATTTCCACTTGACAGCAGATTAATTTGGTGTGATGTTTTCCCTTGAGAGGTCTAAAGGCTTGCAGTTCTGAAAGTACCCTGCAGTTTGTATTTATAGCACTATGGATGTTGAACAGAACAAGAGAAGCACATACTCATTCTGAACTGAAGTTTCTTTTGCCTCCATATATTAAAAAAAATTAACTGAGCATAGCACACTTCCACTGCATTTCTCATAATGCAATATGGAAACATGATTTCCCTGCAGAGCCTATAGAGAAATTCAGGTGGTGTTTCCACTTCATAAACATACTAAGTAACACACAAGCAATGCCACAAACTAATTTCCTCTCAGGGAACAGAGAGATGGGTCTTCCCTCCAGAAAGGGTCCCATGCTTTGAGACTGGAGTAAGCAGTCAGAAGGGAGGTCATAGCTAATGATGGAAAAATCAGTGAAGTTATAGCTTTCACAGGCCTCTTACTGGCTGCCACAGCACAGAGATTAGATTTCAGCGAGAATGGTGGCTGAACCACTCCTGGCACTTGGGTCTGCTCCACCTCGGTCTGTCTGGGGATCCCTTTTTATTGGAGATCATGCTGTAGCTGTTTTGTGAGTAGCCTTTTCAGTTGTCTTACTAACCACTCCAAGTCTCTGTAACTCAGCCTACGCCAAGTCAAATGGCACTATATTAAAGCACAAGGGGTGTATGAAACACAACAGTCCAAAATCTCCATTCATTGAGCCTTTCAGGACAGGTCATAATTCCCAGCAAGCTATACATCTTGAAACATCTGTAGCTGCAGGACAGAATTTAAAGTGAACAACTTCTCAGAGTGACTGAGCCTAAATTTATCTCTGTTGGCCAGTGGAGGACTATTTCAGCTGGCCACAGACAGTCATAGATTCCCCTGCCATGTGTGACTTGCAGCTGGGAGCAGTAAGTCCAGCTGGAGCTGCAGCCCACCAGGAAAGCCAGGGCACTGGCAAAGCATGGCTGCTGGCTGGATGTCACTGTTACAGGTGTGTAGTGGCAGCTTCCTCTTCAACCTGGAAAAAACCCAACCAAACCATGAAGAATGAGAGGTCAAAAACACTGACCCAAAGACAATAAAGTAGCTATCCAACCCCAGGGGGAAAAAAAAAAAAGAAAAAAAAAATCCCCTTCTAGAAGAGCCTGAGCTGATTCCAGTGCTTTGCATTGCTGCAAAGTTCAGACAGTGGTGGCTGGTCCCCCCATCTCCTTGCAGTTTCTCCACCTTCCAGAAGATGACAGTACCTGAGCCCACCATTACCTTCCCTCTGTGCAAGGGGTGCAGCATCATGGAGGTGGCCTGACAGGGGCAAAGTGCAGGCTCACTAGTTGATGACAATTGAGCAGGCCTCATCTCTGACCCACATGTGTTACATGCTGAGGTGGCTCATTGCCTCTGTGCTTATTTAAGCAAAAGTTTCTTAAAATTACAGCTGGAATTAAGACAAAGAAAATGAAAACAATATTGGGGGCAGTTCCAGGTATTTCTTGTGCAAGCCACCAGCTCAGCCCAAGAAACAAGAAATAACTTCTTTCCACCACAGCCATCCTTGCTAACAACAGGGCTTTTGGTCCTGGCTTGCCACTATTGATTTTGCTGCTGCTGAGTCAGGCAGAAGCCGCCCCACTCACTCCCCTGCAGGTGTAGTGCCTCTGCAGCACCAGCTGTAATCACACTTGCCCGGTGCCCTAACTATCACCTGCCAAGAGCAATGTCAGTTGAAACTACAGGCAGGGTGGAAGTGATCAGAACAGCAGATTCAGACATATGAACAGACAGAGCAGCATTGATGCTACCATCTTTTTCACGCCTACTTCTTACACAGTGCAGAGCAAACACTGAAATTTATTTATGAACACCTATCCATTCTGCAGGCTTATGAAGGAGCGACCTCCAGCACCATGGTCCATCTGGTGTACTTCCCACACAGTAAGTCTGCAAGGGAGGATGGGTGCCTTAGCCCCTTTTCACAGACAAGGCACCTGGAGTTTGCCTGAGCTGCAGCAGCATGTCTGGGGAAAAGCACAACGGGATTGCTCTCCGGCCTCCAGAACTGGCACGAAAGCATGAGAATAGTTTTCTCAGATAAGATATCTTGCCTTCACCAGCTTTTCCTCCCAGACTTTCAGCAATGATAAATACAGAGAATATTGCTGCGGGCATGTCTGCACTGTGTTATTTATCCTTTGGATTTGTGCTTAGGGTTTTGTTTGCAAGAAGAAAGTGGGACCATAAATCTGCTCTGCAAGGAGCCAAGGGAAGAGAGGATAGAAATTTTCAACAAGTGGCATGGAAGGAGATGATGCCAAGGACAGGTTTCCCATGGAAAGAAATGTCAGACAGGTTATTTCCCAGGTACACACTATGGGTAGTGGCAACAGCTAAAAGCGTCAGCCTTTTATTTGCAAGTACATTAATTCATTCCTCCTTGCACATGTAGTTTTGAGATTGCTGCAGCAAGGATGGCCCTCCTAGGGTACCTTCTTAATTCACAGCTTTTGCCCTTTTTCTCTTACCAAAAAAATAAAATTAAAATTCTGAACTCGTACTAGAACAGACCACAAAGCTGAAAAACTATGTGTGACCAAGACTAACTTGTCAGGGTTGAGTACCAAGCCGCTAGACAAGCCTAAGCTGACCACATTCCAGAGTGACCATTTTGTTCATGGCCTTCAGTGTACATGACGGCTCTGTGGACACAGCGCCGGTAGGTGAGGATAGAGGCAGTCTCATAGGCAGATCCTCTGGTTCTGCATTACACTGGCCTGTTCCACTTTAGCCAGTGGCTCCCACTTCTGCTTTAGCTTCAGCACTGCCCATCAAGTTCAGATGACTTTCTTCTGCATAACCCTGATGTCTAGATCATGTCTGCCCAGCTCCTGCCAGGCTCTCCAGAATTGCAAAGCACTAAGTCTACTTGTCAGACGCTATCATGCTCCTGTTATTTTTTGTCTTGTATTTTCCTGATAACAAGGCTGAGCTATGTGTTACTGTGGAGAGGGTCTTCAAAATAGCTTGTGCTTTGCAAATTTACTTCATCGTCTAAGGTTCAAAGACTACAGGCAGCTCCTAACTCCAAGTCCAACAGGAATCTAGGGCCTGTGAGGCTTTCAACAGTTAAGTTTTCTTTAGGCTACAATTATTTTGCTTAGAAACTAGACCTTTGATCTGTTGCGGGAGGCTGCAGTTTAATAAAGTCAAACAATTTGCTCTTTGCAATGTACTATTTGTGGTACAAGTATCATTGAGTTATACTGCTCCCCCTCAGCACTGCCTGCTGGAACGCCGTCTGTTTATACACAGGAAGCACTCCTAAAAATACCCAGTGATGTTAGCAGAGGATCTGTCTCTGTCTCTCCTCCTGCTGCTTCTGCCTCCATAACATCCTTCCATCATCTTCATGCTCAACAAACCTGGATGTTCAAGTAACCCTATCTCTGTCTTAACCTCTTAAAAAAAAAAAAATTGTTCTTTTCCTTCCTCCTCTCCCACTAGCCATTTTCCACTCTGTCACAGACCAACTTCCATGATGTTGCCATGCCACATCCCATTTAGTGTATCCTTGCTTGATCACTAAATTACAGTGAAGCCCACATCATCTTTATCAAATATTTGAGTACATCTACGTGGCTCTGACCACTTTTCAGACGATAAGAAGTCGCCAAGTTGGGGCAAAAATAGTACCAGGAAGAGAGTAACATCTTTTACTTTACTTTAGGAAGGGGCATTTGGAGACCACAAAAGACGACGCAGTACTCTCCACAGGCTAACTTTTGAAACCACTCTCAGGGAAGTTACCCTGGCAAAAAAGCATTTCCCAAAGGAAATACCATTGCAAATAAAAACATTTTCACAGTAGTATAAATAGAAAATCTGCACAGCAAAAGTCCAGGCAGCTGACAAAAACATCAGTTATTAAACTTCAGGTAAAATTCAGAAGCAGGTCTGGGACTTAGCTCACACTT